CCCCACTTGCACCGCACACCCCCACATGTAAATAAAATACACAGCCCCCTCTCCTGCTTACCCTGTTGCAGGGAGGAGGCTGTGAGCCACGATCATCGATCCCTGGTGATCTAGTGGCGATTAGTAAGGTCTGCTGCAGACCTCACTAATCTAATCAATCCTTTCGGCCAGCGTTTGGCGAAGATGTTTAGCGTTTAGCGAAGACGCCGGCTGAAAGGATCCGGCACAGATGCAGCTATGCGGTCTGCATCCGACAGAGATGCAGACCGTGTAGCTGCTCCCGCAAGTCTGGTCAGTGGCCACGTACCAGACTTGTGAGCTAGCTGCGGGCCACTTAGTCCCGGCTCGCGGGCTGGTACTTTGAGACCACTGCTCCACACCAATGTCTTTCTGGAGCTGGCTTGGTGTACAGGGTCACAGTCATGCTGGACATATAGACAGATGTGCTAGCAAAAAGAAAAAAATATCAGTAAGTCTTAAAACTCTTTGCGTCTTGTTCAGGTCCTGCTAAGGATGTACCCCGATGTCCGCAAAGCAGTTGGATCTTCCGAGAAAGTCTTTGAATACATGGATGAAAATCCACAGATGACAACTGCGGGGAGCCTTCAGCCAGCAAACCTCGAGGGCCGTATCCAGTTCAAAAATGTCTCCTTCTCTTACCCTATGCGACCAGATCAACCAGCTCTTCAGGTACCATCACAAAGTCAGCTGACTACACAAGTGGGATTTGTAAAATGGTACACAGATCAATGTTAATGTGCTGAGTGTAGTAACCCACTCAGTGGTCAAATCAGTAAATTCTGTTTGGTTGCTGTGTGTTGCAGTAGTTTGCACACTGTTGTTTGCCTTATTGAATCAACCCAAAAAGCTGCTAAACTGAAAGGGTTAAATGTCAGGCCTCACCAAATAATAACACTGTTATCTGATTTATGTATATTTAAATATGTACAATCTCATAACAAGCAGTGAATATGCTTTAAAAGAAGCCGTTCATGACCTCTGTAGCTACAGGTACCTACTGTGGATTAAATAATGCTCAAAATTGACATTGGAAGATTTTCTTTTTCTCTCAGCAGCTCAGCTCCCTAAAAAAACTCTGCAGTGACTTGGCAGCTTACCAGCCTTCTGAGCTCTAATATAAACACAGAGCAGGTGCACAGCAGGAGGGGAGAGCAAAGTGCTGAGACCTGACAGGGAAGACTTTACTACTTCTCCTGTGAGATTTGAGGATGAGTTGCTCCACTATGCCTGCAGCTACAGAGGTCAGTGATGGTGTCAGGGTTTCTTACCCTTCCTCTTCCAATTGGTTGCAGAATGGCTTGTTTTGCAGTATGCCTGAAAACTGTTTGTTCCTCTTTGTCACCCTCTTATGACCAAACATCATCATTCTGCAACTAATGGCAAACTCCTTGCACATTTCTATCTCAGAGTGATGATGCAAACACTAGTACACTATGTAACCTTCAGTTGTTCCTGTTCTCATTGTATGACCCTGGCTCTGGCTGACTGGTCTTCTGGTTCCTGACTCTAGCTATTGTTTCTGTTCATTCTGCTCTCAGTGTTCCCTGACTTGGTTCAGCTGTCTACCCGCTTTCGCATCTGAACTCTGGCTTGGCATCAACAACGTCCTGGCTCCTTTTATTTTTCACCTGCACTTACGTTTCTGTCTGGTTTCTTGGTTCTCTAACAGATGGCTTAGTTTAAAGCTTAATTAGTGCTTGTTGAGAATGTATAAATATTTAAATGTTCATACCCAGGCCACAGCTATACTATACACCTTGTGACAAATGCTACTAGTGATTAAAAATACAAGTACAGAATTAAAGTTTCTTACAACATCTTATGATTGTCATTGTAGTAGAAATCAAATGGTATTGGTTATAAAAGTGTCAGTTAATGATTAGTCTAGTCCAATCAGTGAGCTCCATGGCCACAGACACAGAATGCACTATGGATTGATGGCCAGATTGCATCTTTCTCAGATTCATCAGTGAGGGCAAGTAACAGATCAGTAATAGCTCTTGTATGGTACTTAAACACAGAACCATAAATCTGACTACAATAGAATGATATAATTGTCTGAAGCAGTAGTCATTTCTCACCTTTAATGGGCTACCACACACGACTTTATACAAGTCATTTAATGTGCAATATTATTTTTACAATTCATACCATACTTAGAAACATTACATAAGCCAAAAATCTCTTTGAATGACCCCTGAATGATTAGTTATCTAAGTCCACCTTATATATAATATTAATACAATGCAATTATTCCTTAATTTTCTAATAATTCTGTTGCTAGGTGTCTCATGTAATCCCTGCTTCCCTTATAATACAGTTATGAGAATCTTTTTATCCTTAGAAGACTACATATGGATGTAATGGTGATAATGTCTACCTTCTAAATCTCTAGGATGTCTCCTTTGAGCTACCTCCAGGTCAGGTGACGGCCCTGGTTGGCCTTTGTGACGCTGGCAAGTCCACGGTGGTCCGGTTGTTGCTCAGATTTTATAAACCACAGAAAGGGGAGATCCTGCTGGATGGGAAACTTTTGTCTGAATACGAAAACAAGTATTACTGCAAAAAGGTTAGCATGGTGTTTTCATACGATTAGATAAGAAAGATCAGTGGCTCTTCGCGTATTGCTAGTGCTGTGGAATCCAACTGCGTGTCTTATGGTGGAATTTAAAGGACAGTTATTTACTTGCATGTGAAATACTCTTATCGCTTTATCAGTAGAGTACTGAAGGCACACATCTTTAGAAAGGGATTTTACAACCCTCTAGACAGTGTAGAAGAGACATAATTGGTTAACAGTATATACAGTCATTAGAAATAATGGCTACATACAAGATAACTTCTGACATAGTCTATTGCCAGATGGTATGATCTTAAAATATTCATACTCTTCTCAGTAATTACCCCTAGTGATCTTGCATAGGTTCATGATACAAAAAAATAATGTTGAGCTTAGCAGAGTAAGTCAAGCCTATTTAGAGATTACATATGTAACTTTGTTCAACATTTAGGTTTCATTTTGTGCTACTTGTAGAAAATTCAGTCTCCATGCTAAGTGGTGGCATCACAAGTACCCAGCAATAACATCATCATAGTGTGCTACATAACACCAGCTCTTTTTAATGGGACATGGGCTCTGCCACGTGCTGTTCATCAAATACAAAGTAACATCTATGCCACTTGTTGTGGCTTTGGTGATGCGGATACTTATGAAAAACAGACGTCTTGCATCTCCTTAAATTAGGTTTGTCGCGCTTTGGCTCAGTGCTTCGCCCCGTTGGCTTGAACAGCACTTTGACTCAATATTTAGACACATTGGCTTGAAACCTTGAAGGTATACTGTCTATATGTGAACTGCTATCATGGAGTTTGTATGTTCTCAGCATGTTTCCGGTAGGTTCCTGTAGGTTTTCATTCAGTTATTATTATACAGGATTTATATAGTTCCAACAGTTTGCGCAGCGCTTTACAATATAAGGAAGACATTACAGTTACAATACAATTCAAGAGAAGATGGTTGGGAGGGCCCTGCCCCTGAGGGCTTACAATATTCTCACCCTTTATTAGAAGCTTTGCATGCACTTCACAGCAGCCAATCATCACGTTCACACAGGAAAATTACAGTTGTAAAATGATAATTAGAACCCTATTGGTGGCTGCAAGGCATTATAGCCAGATCTATGCTTAGTTTGTTTGTGACTAGAGCGCTGCAAGCTTCCCCGAGCCAAAGATTGATCGGAAACATCATGTGTCGCAAACCTCATCATGTATCACTTGCCCCTCCCTTTTAGATTGTAAGCTCTCAGGGGCAGGGCCCTCCTTACCATCTTGTCTTGAATTGTATTGTGATTGTAATGTCTCCCTTATATTGTAAAGCGACGCGCAAACTGTTGGCGCTTTATAAATCCTCTATAATAATAATAATAATGTGTTCACTTTGGAGAACTGCAAACATTCCCAGTCAATACTAATAGCAATGGGAAAACTAGAAGGGCACTCAAACAAAACTACACAACTTGCACTGCGAGACAGCCAAGCCACTGGCTCTGGGTTGTGAATAATTACTTTGTGCATTTGCCAACAGCTTTAGATAAATATAAATGAGCCACACACTGGAAACAGAGCTGGGTGTATTTTTAGAAAGAAAGAAAACGGGTTTCATAAAACACAACTGGAAGAACACACACTGTGTTGAAGAGGAAGACGTTCCTCAAGACTTTGGGGTTGATTTACTAACCTTATAAACACACCACGAACGTGTATACACCTCTGTAGTGTGTTCCCTCCCAGCATGATCTATGGGTGGAATCTAAACACCTTTGTAGTGTGTACACACCCAGCAGGTGTGTTGTGCAAAGCCCTGCCCTGAATTGCAAGGTGATGTTGTGTAAATTAGCTCTACATTGTGTTGCTTGCGTTGATGAATGCAGGAATGTAAATGCATGAGCTAACCATTGTTGTCTAAACTGTGAAGCAGCATTATATATGCATCATGTGCATGATTTTTCCATATATGGCATTAGTGGAAACATGCTTACAGAGACTTTTTGGTTGATAAATACGCTTTGCTGTGTAAAAATCACACGCACCTGGTGCGTGCGTGTGTTTAGGTTAGTAAATCACCCCCTTTGTGTCACAGGCAACACTTCATATCATCATTGGTTCTTTTAACGACGCTAGAACATGATATACAGTTGTTTATAAACTGTATTGTATTGCAAGCCTAAAACCTTCAGTAGATGTCACTGAAGAATGATTATCTAGGGAACAACCCAACCAAAAAATAGCAATCAAAGTCGGCATTTTACCTGAGATGTGACCAGTACTGGCTGCCCATGGCAACCACATTGTCCGCTTTACCAGTGCACCATAGAAGAACGGGAGAATATAATTAGTCAACAATGGGCAAAAATAAATTTTTTCCTTCAATTCATGACACATTTGATGTATGTCACCCTCATTATTTATTTCCTTTATTGTAGGTGTCAGTAGTGAGTCAAGAACCCGTCCTTACAGCAAGGTCCCTGAAGGACAATATATCTTACGGTTTGGGGAAGGTCTCCTTGGCCTTAGTGAGGAAAGCGGCCATAGCTGCCAGTGCTGATGACTTCATCTCAGAAAAAGAGAACGGTTACGACACAGGTTGGTTTTTTAATATAGAAAGCTCTCTTTTCAGAAAATGATATAAACCACCACAATAAAATTTGTGTATATTATCTGATATAGAAGCTGGGAATAAAGGAGAACTTCTATCAGGAGGGCAGAGACAAAGAATAGCCTTGGCTAGAGCCCTATTGAGGGACTCCAAGATTCTCATCCTTGACGATGCCACCAGCTCCCTCGACTCCGAGACTCAGCAGAAGGTGAGAACGCTGCAACTGATTATCCTTTATAATGTTGTCATGCTTTTGGGGTTTCTTAATCCCCACTCAAAAGTAAACAAAATTTAATAGGATTGTGGTGAAAATAATGTAGGGAAATGTTAGGATTTTCTAAAGGAAAAGCAGCTTTTTTTTTATACACTTATGTTCCACCTGTGACTTATATAACATGCAACAAGCAAAATAAATGGCAAACGCACTCATCAATTCATAACCAGCTTTAAAGCAAGGTGCACATGGAAGGGCTATAAACAGTACAACAGCAAAAAAAAATCCCAGCACACCCACCAGCCAGTCTGCAAAAAAACACTGTGTAACTACTAAGGTTAAAAACAGAGGTCTTAGTTGCACATCTTCTGCAGAATATGTAGAAGCCGCACTGCCTTGTCAAGGCCCCTCTGTGTAGTGTAATCTAAGAGAGCCTCCATTTTGGATGAATTGATGAGTGTCTTTGCCATTCGTTTTGGTGTGTATTTGGTGTGGGGACACCCGGGGGGGCTTCAGCTGCCGCTGTGATGTGCGGGGTTCCTTGTGTGTCCCTGTGCCTTTAATGAGGTTGGGCTGCCTCCTGGCGAACCTGCACCCAATTCATCCATTGCTATATATGCTCCAAGATGGAGGCTCTCATAGATTAGAGTTAGGACTGTACTACACAGAGGGGCCGTGACAAGGCTGTGTGGCTTCCACATATTCTGCAGAAGACGTGCAACTAAAACCTCTGTTTTTAACCTTAGTAGTTACACAGTGATTTTTTTGCAGGCTGGCTGGTGAGTGTGCTGGGAATTTCTTTGCAGTTGTATTATATAACATGCAGGGGCAAGTCAAAAGACTGTGTAAGGGGAAATATTCCAGACCAGAAGTAAGAGAAAATCTGTAACAGGGACACAGATAGAAATACAACTCTGACAGGGCAGTAGGAATGTGTATAGCAGTAAGTCCTGACGCTGTCTGGTGTTGGCGCTTTGCATGTCCGGCCCAACTTGGCATGCAACAAGGTTTGGGAGGCTGCTATAGGTTTGTACACCTCTAGGCGATTGCACTATATACTTGCCACAGTTCCCCCCTTTCCTTATAGTGACAGAATGTATTTACTATTACTACAGGTACACTTTAAATGTCAAGGGTTTCAAGAAAGGATTGTATCTACCCCACTATAGAAACCCTACTGAACCTACGGTGGAAGAATGGCAGCTGAACCAAGCTGGCTTACTTTTGATCTAGTTATAATAAACAACTCTTACCAAGTTAAAGTCAATTGTGGTAACAACCATAATATTGATCTTCTCTCTAGATTCAAAAGACGGTGTTGAGCAACCCTGATAAGCGGACCATTCTACTTATAACTCATCGATTGAATGTCTCAGAGAAGGCCGACCACATCCTGGTGATGGAGAAAGGACAGATTATGGAGTCAGGGAACCATGAACAGCTCTTGGCCAATAAGGGCAGTTACTGGAAACGGTGGGAGACACAAAGCAGCACCGTCCAGAAAAGCAACGGAGAGAAGGCCGAGGCATTGTGATCAGACAACAGAACCAGTGTGACAGTGGAACCTGCAGATATAATTCTACTTCTCTACGAGCTTTTATAGTTGTACCTGTTACCTGGACCTAAGACTTTTAGAAAGGAAAATATTGCACTGTTTTGAAAATTGCTCTATATACATTATTTGGCATTTTGCATTTTCTTTTACTGTAAGCTGTAGAAGACAGATTCCCAGCATCCTAAACTAAAAAACAAAACATGCAGCTCACCAGTCCTTAGATGTGGTGGCTGCATTAGTTTCCTATATTTGTACCTGGTACTCCTTCAAATAACACAGTTCCTGTCTTGGGGTGATCGAGGTCCTGGCTGTTGAGTGCGGCTTTACATACATTGGCAAACAGAGGTCTGTTACTGATATTGTGATTTAGATTTTGTTTTGTTTTTGCTTTTAAAATGAAGATCTCTTTTCATCAAGTGGTGGGAGCTATTTGTGTTTCAGTCTCTGTATATAAAATGCTACAAACATCAGTATTTATGTAAGGTTTAGAAAGATGAGAAAATGAATATGAATTTATGGTGTGAAGTATTTTACTTTCTCCATAATGATCTGTCTTTTTATGTAAATAAAGTGTTTATTTTCTATACTATGCGACCATTAATGTTGTGTTTGTCTTTGTGTAAAGTTTGAAGCAATTTTTTTTATTATTGTAAAGTTTATCTATATTGATCTCAACACATCTCAGCTCAGACCCAAATAAAAGGGACAGTCAAGCTGGAACTATGGGTGGATGTTGTTATCCGTTATTAGTGGATGCTAATGTGCTCAGTCAGTCAATGGTAGAGATGAGGTTCTGGTTTGGAGCCACCTTGGATGTGAGGCAGATCTGGTTTCACAGTTAAGCTAAATTCTGAATTTTTGGCTGAAAAAACTATAATGCACTGCATGACATCTGCACCTGGAAAGATGAGTTTCTAAGAACAATTAATTTGAAGAAATGGACAAGCAAGTTCCCCCAGGATGAAAGGGTGGGCTCCCAGCAGCCATATTGTCAGCGTGTGTTGGGGCTGGTTAGGGAAAGATGACAAATTTGTGCAGGGAGAGCATAGGGAGAAATACTGTGATATATTGTGGGTTGCAGTGTGGTGGGTTACTCCTTTTTCTGTACCACTGTGTTCATAGTTCCATAGACCCAACTGCAGAATATATATACAGTATTGTGAGCAGGCGATCGGTAGCTGGAACTTAAGCCCCCTGGGAATAAGCAGTCTCTTGGGCACAGATACCAAATCCAGGGGAGTAGTGGCAAACAGTGCAGTGTTTATTAGTGAATTTAACAAGAGCATTCACAGGTGCTGTACAGGGGTTCACAAGAAATCAACAAAATAAAACCTAGCCGTACCCCGGCACTAACTTCACAAACAAAAGATATAGCTCCTAACTAACAGGCTGAGCAGGCCTACCGCTTGTCAGCCTCCACAGAAACTGTTTGTAAGTTTGCACCAACCTTGCAGCTCTCTCAGACAGGACCTGTCTGATCCCCAGGCAGAGAGCTCTGAGTACAGGTTCCAGGTGAGCTTAAATTGCCAGTGGGGAGAGGAGTAAACCCAGCATTGGAGCCCGGATCAGCAATTCCTAAATATATAGGAGAGGAACTTGGGAGACCTATAAACTCCGAAAAGGACTTTACCAGGCTCCCTCTGAGATGCTCTGCTACAATATATATATAGAGAGAGAGAAAAAGTGGGGGCCTTTGTTTTGTGAGTTAGTCTTTTAGACTTTATTTATTTTTAGTTTGAGGTGTAGGAGTTCTTCACAAAAAAGATGTGTGCTGTCATCCCCCAAAAGGAATTAAAGGAGAACTATGAGGTGAGAGATTTTCACTCAACCTCATAGTTCGAGCCGACCTGTGACAATGAGACTGTCACACGTCGGCTCAATAGATTGGGAAGTGAGTGAACACATACCGTTGCTCGCTCACTTCTCGATCCTGTTCCTGCAGAGAGCCGTGACTGTCACTCACGGCTCCCTGCAGGGATTCCCCACTCCGATCCTGCAGTGCTCACTAGAGGAACGAACGGGGGAGGGGGCGGTTACAGCTGGCTCTGCCTCTAGATAGGCAGAGCCAGCTGTCTTGGATTTCGAGAGTAATGTCGGGATCCGTCCCGGCTGCGGCGGTCTCAGTGTCTCACTTCTCGATCCTGTCCCTTCCTGTAGCTTGCGGTATACTGAGCTTTGGGTCACGGGAGGACGCTAGTTTATGTCCTCCCGTGACCCTGAGGAGAACTATGGGAAAAAACTCTGACCCCATAGTTCTCCTTTAAGAGCTTAGTGCGTTTCTAGCAGATCAAAAAGTATTTTATGTAATTGCAGGGCGTTTTTATAAGCATAAAATCAGGGACATGTGCATTTATTGCATTGATGATCTGCATTTTTGGTTTTAATTTTGCCTTGTGTGGCATTGCGTGGCAATACCACGGTTCTAGATGGCCTCAAAGTCACCAAGGGTGTACAGAGGTGCACAATTAGGTGCTGGTCGCTACTAACCCACGGATCCAGGAATGGAGATTTCGTCCCACCCAGAGCTCTAAGAAATCTCCTGGCTCCAGGATCCCAACTAGGATCCAGAAAACCCAGAAAGGACTGAAAAGGCAGTTCTTTCCTGGCACAAGCAATTCTTTCCTGGAGCCACTCAGCCCTTCTGGGTGACTTCGAGGCCATCTAGCACCGTGGTATTGCCACACAATGCCACACTTGATAAAGACTTTACAGGAGAACTATGGGGTCAGGGCTTTTCCCCATAGTTCTCCAAAGGGTAACTGGAGGACACAAACTTGCGTCCTCCCATCACCCAAAGCTCAGTATACTGCGAGCTACAGCTCACTATATACTGAGACGCTGCAGCTGAAACGGATCCCGACAATTATGTCTGGATTCGCCCAGCTGCGTGAGTGACAGCTGGCTCTGCCTATCAAGAGGCAGAGCCAGCTGTACCCGCCCCCTCCCCCGGTCAGCGCTGGAGGATCGGAACGGGGAGAGGGGAATCCAGCCCCTCCCCTGTCACGACATAGAGCCGTGACAGGATCGAGAGGTGAGCGAACGCCGGTATGTGTTCCCTCACTTCCCGATCTACTGAGCCGACCTGTGACAGTCTCATTGTCACAGGTCGGCTAGAACTATGAGGTGAGTGAAAAGCACTCCCCTCATAGTTCTCCTTTAAGGAGGAATGGACTACTTACAGGCATACCTGCCTTCCATTTATATATTGCTATGTATGTCCAAAGATGGGAGCTCTGGTAAACTAGAGTTAGTAATCACACTTTACAGAGAGGCCTTGGTGAGGCAGTGTGTGTGTTTCACGTATATATTGGTGAATGGAGGCAACAAACCAATTTTTACACAGATTGTTAAGCCAGTTTAGACTTGCAGGTGAGTGTGACCACAAGAAGATGGAAGCACCATGGGCAGAGCAATGAATGGAAGAGTGGACTTTGTGACACATTTTGGCACCTTTCACACTGCATTCCCATCAGGTCCGCCTGTCAGGTGGATCTGATCAGAAACCTGATGTTAGTCTATGGGCGGCTGGATCTAAATGGACAAGCATTTGTTAACATACAATTAACCAGACTCCAGTCAGGTCCGGAAAAACAAACAGAACAGAGTTCCATTTCGCCGGATCGGGGGTAATCTGATGTAAATGGACACATGTCCATTTATATCCGACTCCAAATGGTCCAACATGGAGTCTGGTCATTTAAATTTTTTCCTCCATTAGAAGATGGAGGAAGAAACTGGATGGACACAGATGTCACAATGATGACATCCGTTCCAAGCTGCTTCAATCAGCAGGGGATCCGTGCACAAATCCCCTTCTAAACGGAACTGAAGGCACTCTTGTGAAAAGGCCAAGTGGGTAAGTCTGCCGTAATGTACAATTACTGTATAGTGAAAATATTGGGCATACTTGCACATTATAGCACAGCTCTGGGGGCCCGCAGCGCTATAACACAAGAATAAAGATCCTAATTTTCAGCCTTGAGACTGTTAACTTTTAAATCATATTAAACTCAGCTGAAAATAACTCTCACTTTTATAAAGATAAAGAATCCTTATCCTGGTTCAAGTTTTATGAACTGAGCCTATTGCCATGATATTCAAAACCTGGTTAGGACTAGTGGTGCAATAAAATGTTTTATGCATGCTGATCTGAGCAGAGCGATGATGCTTTAGGCTACAAATGTTGTGTGCTAGACGGAAATGGGTGTGAACGCATTCAATAACTGTAATTCTCAATTAACTCTTTGCTCACTGTTATACACACTACTACAATTCTGGCAAACGTAATATTAAAAACGGGGACTCTTGGTTTGTATCTATTGTAATACATGTTTAAGCTGGCCAAGCGTGTAAGTGATCGATCTCTGGCTACTCCCTATCAGCAAAATGCTAAAAATGTACGTGTATATGTTGTATTTGCAGCAAATTGCCTAAAATATGTCAGTATGGGGTCAAAAAGAAGGAAGGTGAACCAGATCTGATCAATGATCCTTGTCAGTCTGTATTTGCAAACACACAAAGAAAAATTAAATATATTGGTATACCAATCAGGTCTCAGACGAGGCGGCTGCATTCATTTTCAGGCTTTTTTACTTTATTTAAACCTGATGAATTTTTAAGACTAGACTGGGGAAGGGGGGTGTCTGTAGATCATAGGGAGCACTGAGAACAATGCTAACTGATAACAGTCTGTTGAGGCAGAGAGCACAGGAATTTATCAGCTCACCTGATTTCTGGTAGGAAAAAGGTGATTTTTATCCCACAGATACTGTATAACAAATCAATTTCAATTGTATATTTAAGGGACCAAAAGGGAACAAAAAAGAGATGGTTATTGTTAAAGCTGAACTCCAGTCAGCTGTAAAAAGCTCTACACGCTGCAAGGGTTAATAGCTTATATTTTCCAGGGGGATGATCTTTACGTCATGTGTGTTCAGAGATATCTTTTAAAAACATATCCCAGCAATGTACACCGAGTTAACGCGAAGCAGGCATATGCCGTTGCTGTATATG